TGGTTAGTGTGGGGGGGGCGTGGTTAGTGTGGGGGGGGGCGTGGTTAGTGTGGGGGGGGAGGGCGTGGTAGTGTGGGGGGGGCGTGGTTCGTGTGGGGGGCCGTGGTTAGTGTGGGGGGGGCCGTGGTTAGTGTGGGGGGGGCGTGGTTAGTGTGGGGGGGGCGTGGTTAGTGTGGGGGGGGGCGTGGTTAGTGTGGGGGAGGGCGTGGTTAGTGTGGGGGGGCGTGGTTAGTGGGGGGGGCGTGGTTAGTGTGGGGGGGAGTGGTTAGTGTGGGGGGGGGGTGTAGTGTGGGGGGGCGTGGTTAGTGTGGGGGGCGTGGTTAGTGTGGGGGCGTGGTTAGTGTGGGGGGGCGTGGTTAGTGTGGGGGGGCGTGGTTAGTGTGGGGGGGCGTGGTTAGTGTGGGGAGGGCGTGGTTAGTGTGGGGGGGCGTGGTTATGTGGGGGGGCGGGTTAGTATGGGGGGGGCGGGGTAGTGTGTGGAGGGGGCGTGGTTAGTGTGGGGGGGGGGCGTGGTTAGTGTGGGGGGGGTGGTTAGTGTGGGGGGGGCGTGGTTGGTGGGGGGGGCGTGGTTAGTGTGTGGGGGGTCGTGGTTAGTGTGGGGGGGCGTGGTTAGTGTGGGGGGGGCGTGGTTAGTGTGGGGGGGAGTGGTTAGTGTGGGGGGGTGTGGTTAGTGTGGGGGGGCGTGGTTAGTGTGTGGGGGGGGCGTGGTTAGTGTGGGGGGGGCGTGGTTAGGGGGGGGGGGCGTGGTTAGTGTGGGGGGCGTGGTAGTGTGGGGGGGGCGTGGTTAGTGTGTGGGGGGGCGTGGTTAGTGTGGGGGGGGGCGGGTTAGTGTGGGGGAGTGGTTAGTGTGGGGGGGGGGGGGCGTGGTTAGTGGGGGGGGGCGTGGTTAGTGTGTGGGGGGGCGTGGTTAGTGGGGGGGGGGGTGGTTAGTGGGGGGGGGGGCGGTGGTTAGTGTGGGGGGGCGTGGTTAGTGTGGGGGGGGGTGGTTAGTGTGGGGGGGGGCGTGGTTAGTGTGGGGGGGGGGCGTGGTTAGTGTGGGGGGGGCGTGGTTAGTGTGTGGGGGGGGCGTGGTTAGTGGGGGGGGCGTGCGTGGTTAGTGTGTGGGGCGGGTTGGTTAGTGTGGGGGGGCGGGCGTGGTTAGTGTGTGGGGGGGCGTGGTTAGTGTGGGGAGGGCGTGGTTAGTGTGGGGGGGCCGTGGTTAGTGTGGGGGGGCGTGGTTAGTGTGTGGGGGGGGTAGTGTTGGGGGGGGGTGTAGTGTGGGGGGGGCGTGGTTAGTGTGGGGGGGGCGCGTGGTAGTGTGGGGGGGGGTGGTTAGTGTGGGGGGGGGTGGTTAGTGTGGGGGGGGGTGGTTAGTGTGGGGGGGGCGTGGTGGTAGTGTGGGGGGGGGTGGTTAGTGTGGGGGGGGGTGGTTAGTGTGGGGGGGGGGTGGTTAGTGGGGGGGGGGTGGTTAGTGTGGGGTGGGGGGTGGTAGTGTGAGGGGCGTGGTTAGTGTTGGGGGGGGGCGTGGTTAGTGTGGGGGGGCGTGGTTAGTGTGGGGGGGCGTGGTTAGTGTGGGGGGGGGCGTGGTTAGTGTGGGGGGGCGTGGTAGTGTGGGGGGGGCGTGGTTAGTGTGGGGGGGGGGCGTGGTTAGTGTGGGGGGGCGTGGTTAGTGGGGGGGGGCGTGGTTAGTGGTGGGGAGGGGGCGTGGTTAGTGTGGGGGGTCGTGGTTTGAGTGTGGGGGGGCGTGGTTAGGTGTGGGGGGGGGGCGTGGTTAGTGGGGGGGGGCGTGGTTAGTGTGGGGGGCGTGGTTAGTGTGGGGGGAGGGGCGTGGTTAGTGTGGGGGGGCGCGTGGCGTGGTTAGTGTGGGGGGGCGTGGTTAGTGTGGGGGGGGGCGTGGTTAGTGTGGGGAGGGCGTGGCTAGTGTGGGGGGGGCGTGGTTAGTGTGGGGAGGGCGTGGCTAGTGCTGGTCTCTGGTTGTTTCATTCAGGCAGGGCGAGTGTCAAGAGCACTGCAATTGTGGCCGTGAAAACTCAAACTATCGGACTGTACGGTGAACCCACTGTGGTTGGAGCTCCCTCGACAGAGGGGGGGGGGAATTGCCAAATCTACACGAACTCTCTCTCTCTCTCCTGAAGTCCTCAAGTGGCTGGCTGACCTCGACTCTGGCATCTATCTCCTGGATATACACAAAGACTCCTTTACTTATGAAAGAGTTAAGTTCCAGACGTCGATTTCAAACACGTTGTACGGCATTTACAATAAACGTTCTGCAGGTGCATATGCCACTGGTTCTTCACGTTCTGTAGATGTAGATGCCACTGGTTCTTCACGTTCTGTAGATGTAGGTGCCACTGGTTCTTCACGTTCTGCAGATGTAGATGCCACTGGTTCTTCACGTTCTGTAGATGTAGATGCCACTGGTTCTTCACGTTCTGCAGATGTAGACGCCACTGGTTCTTCACGTTCTGCAGATGTAGATGCCACTGGTTCTTCACGTTCTGTAGATGTAGATGCCACTGGTTCTTCACATTCTGCAGATGTAGATGCCACTGGTTCTTCACGTTCTGCAGATGTAGGTGCCACTGGTTTTTTCACGTTCTGCAGATGTAGATGCCACTGGTTCTTCACGTTTTGCAGATGTTGATGCCACTGGTTCTTCACGTTCTGTAGATGTAAATGCCACTGGTTCTTCACGTTCTGCAGATGTAGATGCCACTGGTTCTTCACGTTCTGCAGATGTAGGTGCCACTGGTTCTTCACATTCTGCAGATGTAGATGCCACTGGTTCTTCACGTTCTGCAGATGTAGATGCCACTGGTTCTTCACGTTCTGCAGATGTAGATGCCACTGGTTCTTCACGTTCTGCAGATGTAGATGCCACTGGTTCTTCACGTTCTGCAGATGTAGATGCCACTGGTTCTTCACACTCTGCAGATGTAGATGCCACTGGTTCTCCACGTTCTGCAGATGTATATGCCACTGGTTCTTCACGTTTTGCAGATGTAGATGCCACTGGTTCTTCACGTTCTGCAGATGTAGATGCCACTGGTTCTTCACGTTATGTAGATGTAGATGCCACTGGTTCTTCATGTTCTGCAGATGTAGATGCCACTGGTTCGTCACGTTCTGCAGATGTAGATGCCACTGGTTCTTCATGTTCTGCAGATGTAGATGCCACTGGTTCGTCACGTTCTGCAGATGTAGATGCCACTGGTTCGTCACGTTCTGCAGATGTAGATGCCACTGGTTCTCCACGTTCTGTAGATGTAGATGCCACTGGTTCTTCACGTTCTGCAGATGTAGATGCCACTAGTTCTTCACGTTCTGCAGATGTAGATGCCACTGGTTCTTCACGTTATGTAGATGTAGATGCCACTGGTTCTTCATGTTCTGCAGATGTAGATGCCACTGGTTCGTCACGTTCTGCAGATGTAGATGCCACTGGTTCTTTATGTTCTGCAGATGTAGATGCCACTGGTTCGTCACGTTCTGCAGATGTACAATGAGGGAAAAAAGTATTTGATCCCCTGCTGATTTTGTACTTTGCCCACTGACAAAGAAATGATCGGTCTATAATTTTAATGGTAGGTTTATTTGAACAGTGAGAGACAGAATAACAACAAAAATCCAGAAAAACGCATGTCAAAAATGTTATAAATTGATTTGCATTTTAATGAGGGAAATAAGTATTTGACCCCCTCTCAATCAGAAAGATTTCTGGCTCCCAGGTGTCTTTAATACAGGTAACGAGCTGAGATTAGGAGCACACTCTTAAAGGGAGTGCTCCTAATCTCAGCTTGTTACCTGTATTAAAGACACCCGTTCACAGACGCAATCAATCAATCAGATTCCAAACTCTCCACCATGGCCAAGACCAAAAAGCTCTCCAAGGATGTCAGGGACAAGATTGTAGACCTACACAAGGCTGGAATGGGCTACAAGACCATCGCCAAGCAGCTTGGTGAGAAGGTGACAACAGTTGGTGCGATTATTCGCAAATGGAAGAAACACAAAAGAACTATCAATCTCCCTCGGCCTGGGGCTCCATGCAAGATCTCACCTCGTGGAGTTGCAATGATCATGAGAACGGTGAGGAATCAGCCCAGAACTACACGGGAGGATCTTGTCAATGATCTCAAGGCAGCTGGGACCATAGTCACCAAGAAAACAATTGGTAACACACTACGCCGTGAAGGACTGAAATCCTGCAGCGCACGCAAGGTCCCCCTGCTCAAGAAAGCACATATACATGCCCGTCTGAAGTTTGGCAATGGACATCTGAATTATTTAGAGGACAACTGGGTGAAAGTGTTGTGGTCAGATGAGACCAAAATGGAGCTCTTTGGCATCAACTCAACTCGCCGTGTTTGGAGGAGGAATGCTGCCTATGACCCCAAGAACACCATCCCCACCGTCAAACATGGAGGTGGAAACATTATGCTTTGGGGGTGTTTTTCTGCTAAGGGGACAGGACAACTTCACCGCATCAAAGGGACGATGGACGGGGCCATGTACCGTCAAATCTTGGGTGAGAACCTCCTTCCCTCAGCCAGGGCATTGAAAATGGGTCGTGGATGGGTATTCCAGCATGACAATGACCCAAAACACACGACCAAGGCAACAAAGGAGTGGCCCAAGAAGAAGCACATCAAGGTCCTTGAGTGGCCTAGCCAGTCTCCAGACCTTAATCCCATAGAAAATCTGTGGAGGGAGCTGAAGGTTCGAGTTGCCAAACGTCAGCCTCGAAACCTTTATGACTTGGAGAAGATCTGCAGAGGAGTGGGACAAAATCCCTCCTGAGATGTGTGCAAACCTGGTGTCCAACTACAAGAAACGTCTGACCACTGTGATTGCCAACAAGGGTTTTGCCACCAAGTACTAAGTCATGTTTTGCAGAGGGGTCAAATACTTATTTCCCTCATTAAAATGCAAATCAATTTATAACATTTTTGACATGCGTTTTTCGGGATTTTTTTGCTGTTATTCTGTCTCTCACCGTTAAAATAAACCTACCATGAAAATTATAGAATGATCATTTTATTGTCAGTGGGCAAACGTACAAAATCAGCAGGGGATCAAATACTTTTTAAATCCTTTATATTAAGTTCACTTGCTTGTTTGCTTGCTTGCGCGCTTACAACCGTGCAAATCTTTCGGTCGTTTTTTAACCCACTTCCCGTGATCCAATCGAGCTGACATTTTGCACACAGACTCGTTGTGCATGACAATGTATTTTCGCGAAAACATTTTCCCCAAAATTTTACACTTTTTAGGTAAAAAAAATTATATTTAATTACCATTTGCTTAATGGTGGCAGGCAATCATCTGACCCATAGGTGGCAGCCATCTCAAGCCAGAGGACGAGAGGACTCTAGCCGCCCGTTTCAAAGACCAATGTGGGCTGGGTTGTGGCCCATTGAACACGCATATAAAGGATTTATAGTGAAAAACTTTGTTTTTACGGGTTAATTTTTTTCCCTCGCTGTACATCACGTGAGGAGCGGTGGTGCAGTGCACGACGTTACGATCCCATAGCCCTCGGTTTGATTCCCGGACGTGGATAACAACGCCGGCGATCATTTTGAACGGCCACCAAACTTCCCCAAAGCTGCCCCGAATGAACGAGTAGCCGGTAAGAGCGGCATAGGCAGCTTAGTGCGGTGTGGCTGGCCAATGTGCAGAGCCTCGACAAAAGCCGCTCGCTAATCTGCACTTGCCCCAGGCAGTCCGTATGGCTGTTGGCAGGCTCCTTTGTCTTTGTTATAGGTCTACGCGTGTGCGTGCGTGTGCGTGTGATTAGGCATGTAACGATGCAGCCATTCATGGATACAAAATAGCTCACATTTATATCTAGGTAATTATATAGAAAACGTATATTTTTAATATTATTATTTCTGTAAATATATATTTATATAAGGATACCGATATATAAATATATAATTAGCTATATGGTTGGGATAGTAGCGCTGTGCGCTCGCCACTGCACGCAATCTAAGATCGAGTATATATTTACACGTAAAATATACAATCAGTTTTACATTGAAATACGCACGTTATTTAAGTTTGATCGTAAAAATATATATTTTTTAAAAACACGTCACGCTAACAAATCTTTTTTACGACCAATCTTAAACGACATCGCGCAGACTATTTGACGGCGTAATGGGTGCAAGCCACAGGGGGAAATGCTCTCCGCACGTTCGACCCCCAACCTCCATCGCACCGCCAATCGGAGGTGCCAATATCCACGCACCGTGAATTTCACGGCCGGGAATGGGCGGGTGGCAGAGGTCGCAACCGGGTACCCGATACCCGTACCCTACCCGATACCCGGCTACCCGTACCCGGCCGGGTACGGGTACGGGTAGGCCGTGAGTCACTGGTGAGTCACCGTTTGTCACTCATTTCCCAACGTCTTGTCTCTTCTCACAATTCAAGTTCCTAGAATCAACCCACCCGCGCCTGCAACGTGGCTTCATCCCAGAGGTCGCAATTGGGTACCCGATACCCGTACCCTACCCAGCCGGGTACGGGTAGCCGGGTATCGGGTACGGGTACCCGATTGCGATCCTGGTGCGGCCGGGTACGGGTAAGGAATCAAACCCGTTTGCGACCTCTGGCGGGTGGGGGGCGGGGAAGCGCCCGTCTCCGTTCACCGGCGCGGTGAAGTATGTCCAAACAAATTGCCGTGGTGGTGGATTTGCCACGGGGGGGGGGGCACATGTCACGGTGGGCGCATGGACGAGAGAGAGAGAGGACAAACGATACAAATGAAAGACGGTGAGAATCGAGACCAGAGCGAAATATCGATTAGAATCTGGGATCTGATCAAGAGTTTGCATCGTGACGATTTGTCGAAATATTTTGGGGGGGGGGGGGGGGGGCGCGGGGATGAATCGTTACATGCCTAGTGCATGTGTGTGTGCGTGTGTGCGTGTGTGTGTACGTCGGAGTGTAGCGGTGAACGCGCTGTGCTACGAAACCGGCGACCCGAGTTCGATTCCCGCTGGCGGCCAACACCGGTGACGATTATCTGAACCGGGGCCTCCCCTAGGTCAACTCGGCCTCAAATGATTACCTGGTGCGCGGTGTGTGTAAACATCGCCAATAGGGAGACAAAGGCGGTCGGGCGTGGTGCTGGCCACTCACCCCCTCGTGTGCCGTTCCGGCCTTCCGAGGTGTTCGCTAACAGCACTTGCCCCAACAGTCTGTTAAGGCTACACGGGGGATCTTTGTACTTGTATTTGTGCGTGTGTATGGGTTTATGTCTATGTGTGTGTGTGTGGCTTTATATGTGGATGTGTACGTGTACAAGTGTGCATCTGTGCATGAGTTTATGTGTGAAGGTGTACGCGTGTGTACGTGTGTGTGTACGTGTGTGTGTATATATGTGTATATATGTGTATATACGTGTATATATATGAACGCGTGTGTACGCGCGTGTGTGTGTTTATATGTGAAGGTGTATGTGTGTGTGTTTGTTTATATGTGAAGGTGTACGCGTGTGTATGTGTTTACGTGTGTACGTGTGTACGCGTGCGTGCAGGCTCAGCCCCCCTCTCCGCGGCGTTGGTGTCAGAGCTCGTCGCGCCCCGTCACGTCGCCCGTGAGCTTCTTCTCGGCCTCCGCCATGGATGCCAGCACTGGGGGCGGGGGGGAGGGAGGGAGGGAGGGCGGGGGGGAGGGAGGGCGGGGGGGAGGGAGGGAGGGAGGCGAGACGTCGCTTCGGGTGTGCGAGGGCGAGTGTGTGAGAGAGAGCGGGGTGTATGGGTCCGTGTGCGTGTGCGTGTGCGTGCGTGTGTGTGCGTGTGTGTGCGTGCGTGTGCGTGCGTGTGTGTGCGTGCGTGTGTGTGTGTGCGTGTGTGCGTGTGTGTGCGTGTGTGTGCGTGTGTGTGCGTGTGCGTGCGTGTGTGTGCGTGTGTGTGTGCGTGTGCGTGTGTGCGTGTGTGCGTGCGTGTGTGCGTGCGTGTGTGTGCGTGTTGGGGGAGCGGTGGTGTAGCGGTTAACGCGCTGCGCTATGAACCCGGCGACCCGGGTTCGATTCCCGCTCATGGCCAACACCGGTGACGATTATCTGAACCGGTCCCGGGCCTCCCCTAGATCGACTCAGCCTTAAATTAGTACCCCGGTGCGATTAGTAAACATCGCCACTGGGGTGACAAAGGCGGTCGGGCGTGGTGCTGGCCACCCACCCCCTTGTGTGCCGTTCCGGCCTTCATAGGTGCTCGCTAACAGCACCTGCCCCTACAGCCTGTTAAGGCTATATGGGAGATCTTTGTCTATCCTTGTGTGTGTGTGTGTGTGCGTGTGTGTACATGCGGAGCGGTCGTGTTACGATTAGCGCGGCCGTGCAACAAAACCCGGCGGCCCGAGTTCGATTTGCGCTCACGGCCAGTGACGAATATCTAAACTGGTCCCAGGCCTCCCCTAGGTCGGCTCAGCCTCAAACGAGTAGCTGGTGCGGTGTGTAAACATCGCTACTAGGGAGACAAAGGTGGTCGGGTGTGGTGCTGGTCACCCACCCCCTCGTGTGCCACCGTGCCGGCCTTCATAGGCGCTACTTGTTAACGGCACTTGCCCCGACAGTCTGTTTGGGCTACACGGGGGATCTTTGTCTTTGTGTGGGAGCGGTAGTGTGGTGATAATCGCGCCTCCGCTACGAACCCGGCGACCCCAGTTCGATTCCCGCTCACTGCCACCAACAACAGTCTGCTAAGGCTATTCTCGGGGGTGGTGGTGGTGGATCTTTATGTACGTGTGTGTACGTGTGTGTACGTGTGTGTACGTGTGTGTACGTGTGTGTACGTGTGTGTACGTGTGTGTGTGTACGTGTGTGTACGTGTAGGGGTTAGTGTGTGTGTGTGTACGTGTAGGGGTTAGTGTGTGTGTGTGTACGTGTAGGGGTTAGTGTGTGTGTGTGGGGGTTAGTGTGTGTGTGTGGGGGTTAGTGTGTGTGTGTTAGTGTGTGTGTGTATAGGGGTTAGTGTGTGTGTAGGGGTTAGTGTGTGTGTGTACGTGTAGGGGTTAGTGTGTGTGTGTGTGTGTCGGGGTTAGTGTGTGTGTGTGTGTAGGGGTTAGTGTGTGTGTGTATAGGGGTTAGTGTGTGTGTGTATAGGGGTTAGTGTGTGTGTAGGGGTTAGTGTGTGTGTGTTAGTGTGTGTGTGTATAGGGGTTAGTGTGTGTGTAGGGGTTAGTGTGTGTGTGTACGTGTAGGGGTTAGTGTGTGTGTGTACGTGTAGGGGTTAGTGTGTGTGTGTGTAGGGGTTAGTGTGTGTGTGTGTGTAGGGGTTAGTGTGTGTGTGTGTAGGGGTTAGTGTGTGTGTGTAGGGGTTAGTGTGTGTATGTGTAGGGGTTAGTGTGTGTATGTGTAGGGGTTAGTGTGTGTGTGTGTAGGGGTTAGTGTGTGTGTGTATATGTAGGGGTTAGTGTGTGTGTGTGGGGGTTAGTGTGTGTGTGTGTAGGGGTTAGTGTGTGTGTGTAGGGGTTAGTGTGTGTGTGTATATGTAGGGGTTAGTGTGTGTGTGTATATGTAGGGGTTAGTGTGTGTGTACGTGTATGTGTAGGGGTTAGTGTGTGTGTACGTGTATGTGTAGGGGTTAGTGTGTGTGTGTGTGTAGGGGTTAGTGTGTGTGTGTGTAGGGGTTAGTGTGTGTGTGTAGGGGGTTTGTGTGTGTAGGGGTTAGTGTGTGTGTGTGTGTTAGTGTGTGTGTGTAGGGGTTAGTGTGTGTGTGTATATGTAGGGGGTTAGTGCGTGTGTGTGTTAGTGTGTGTACGTGTGTGTGTTAGTGTGTGTGTGTGTACGTGTGTGTGTGGGCGCCCGCTCACCCTGGCTGGGCGAGCTGTAGAAGTACTTGTACTTGGGGTTGCCGTCCTCGTTAATAATCTCCGGGTGCACCTTGCCGTCCATGTCTGCGAGGGCACAAAGACAACGCACGCACGCAGACACAGAGAGACACAGAGAGACACAGAGAGACACAGAGAGACACAGAGAGACACAGAGAGACACAGAGAGACACAGACGCTCAGCCTGATCGGCCACACGGCAGTCAAGAGGCGTGGGATGCTGTGAAACCCGGAGCTTTGGACGGCGCCGCGGCGAGATGTTAACTACCTCGCCTGGTGTACAGGAGGTCGTGGGTTCGATCCCGACCCTGACGATGCCTGCTGCTGTATATTTGGAGTTTGTGTCTCTCTCTCTCATCATCACGTTGGATATGAGATGTTAACTACCTCGCCTGGTATGGAGGAGGTCGTGGGTTCGATCCCGACTCTCATCATCATCACGGTGGCTATGAGATGTTAACTACCTCGCCTGGTATGCAGGAGGTCGTGGGTTCTCTTCCGACCCTTGATCGCATGGGTTTTTCTCTTGGTCTTCCGGTTTTCCCCCCCACATTTAAGCGTCAACATGCATTCAGAGCAACTGGCTGCTGATATAAATTTCCACGCTATAAGCCACTTTTTATTGGCCTATCATTTGTGGCCGTATTTCTATTTTACCAAGTAAGTGGGCCTTACCTGGTCAAATATAAAAAGGAATAAAAAGTTAGTATTTCGATTTAAAGCTTTCGATGACTGCAGGGATTCATATTCTTGGTTCTTTCGGCTTGCCAAAAGCCGCTGTCAAGATTTGGAGGTCACGTGATACTTTATGCTCCTTGACGAAATAATTATTACTTTATTATTTCCCTTCTACGTGACTTTACCGAAAGAACCAAGAAGGGGTGAGATGGAGCAGTTCAACAATTCTCACGACGTTTCGGCCACAACGCAAGCAGCCGTCCGCAGGTGAAGATCAGGTCTGTCGGGGAGACAGCGTCTGAATGACCTGGTCTTCACCTGAGGACGGCTGCTTGCGTTGTGGCTGAAACGTCGTGAGAATTGTTTTATCATGTTTTATTTTTATTATTTTATTACTTCCCTTCTACGTGACTTTACCGAAAGAACCAAGAAGGGGTGAGATGGAGCAGTTCACAGCGGGCGACGGGAGTAGTTTACGAGATTCAGCAGTTTACGTAAGAGAGCGATGGAAATAGTTTGTGAGCGACGGGAGCGAGCTTGCGATTGAACCGGCGCGTCAAGTGCAGTCGTGTCACGGTCTCAAGCCCAGTCGCACGCGCAACGGATGTGAGTGACGTGAAAAAATGTTCTTCTGCGCTTAAATGTGGCCAAATGCTCGGTTTGCGAATTCCAACTGTTGGCTTAGACCAGTGGTTCTTAACCCGGGGACACACACACACACACCCCCCCCTGGGGGTCCGAGATGCCCTTTCTGGGGGTGCGAGACATGGCCACATTTATTCAGAAGGTAAAGCATCGAAAATACAAAATAAGCATGGGCACGTAAGTGATAACCACTTTGTGTCATCAAACCGATGTATTTATTTACATTTTTTTTTAACGATTAAGAAGCAAAGGGGTGCAAGCAGAGGTCGCAAACGGGTTTTGATTCCTTACCCGTACCCGGCCGCACCAGGGTCGCAATCGGGTACCCGTACCCGATACCCGGCTACCCGTACCCGGCCGGGTATCGGGTAGGGTACAGGTATCGAGTACCCAATTGCGACCTCTGGGATGAAGCCATGTTGCAGGCGTGGGTGGGTTGATTCTAGGAACTTGAATTGTGAGAAGAGACAAGACGTTGGGAAATGAGTGACAAACAGTTACTCACCAGTGACTCACCGCCTACCCGTACCCGTACCCGGCCGGGTACGGGTAGCCGGGTATCGGGTAGGGTATCGGGTACCCGGTTGGGACCTCTGGGTGCAAGGCTGCAGTAAAGGTTAAGAATCACTTGCTTAAACAAACATTATTTCTTTCCTCGGCAGCGTCGGTGGGTATGTGCCGCCCTCTGCTGGCTAATCATCCACTCTGCCTTTGACCGACTGCCTCTCCCCGTACGAAACAGGGAACACGTGGGCAGGTAGCAGAGGTCGCAACCGGGTACCCGATACCCGTACCCTACCTGATACCCGGCTACTCGTACCCGGCCGAGTACGGGTACGGGTACCCGTTTGCGACCCTGGTGCGGCCGGGTATGGGTAGGCCGTGAGTCACCGTTTGTCACTCATTTCCCAACGTCTTGTCTCTTCTCACAATTCAAGTTCCTAGAATCAACCCACCCGCGCCTGCAACATGGCTTCATCCCAGAGGTCACAATCAGGTACCCGTACCCTACCCGATGCTCGGCCGGGTACGGGTAGCCAGGTATCGGGTACGGGTGAGTGGGCGTGTTGACCCTTCCCCCCCCACCCTCTCCGACATCATCAACCAATCGCGGCGTTGCTCGGTGTTCGGTGGGGAGGTGCATGGGTGGGCGGAATTCCGGACACGCACGACAGACAGACAGACAGACAAATAATCCCTGGTGGGCAGTGTGGAACCTGTTGTTCCTACCTGTGTTAAAGCCCAGCGTGTGTCTGTACGGCGAGTGTCCCTTGTTTAACGCGCTCGCAGTGGCGCGAATAGACGTGTCGTCGGAAAGTGGCGAAGCCGAGTGTTAGTGGCGGATGGCGGCGGTTGTTGTTGTGGGTTATCAACTTATTTCTTCTTCCGAGACCCCCCCCCCCAATCATCGTCAGCTTCAACACGAGCAGTGGGTGCGGGTGGCTGGGGGAAGAGAGGGGGGGGGGTGGGGAGTGGTGACGGGCGACGTCTCACCGAGGAAGAGGATTCGGGGGATGTAGCCGCCGTCCGGACTGAACTCCGGTGCCTCTGGTTCGTCCTCATCCTGCACGGACGACACACGGTGGGTGGGCGGGTGGGTGGGTTGGCGGGTCGCGGGGTTGGGGCAGCAAAGAAGCAGCGTCAGTCAACGAGCGGAGCGGCCAGAGCACAGCAAGTTGGCGTAGTAGGGGGGGGGGGGCACAGGTGGTGCATCGGCCAGTCATCTCAGTCGGTCAACACACGGCACCTGGGCGTGTTCCCGTGACCTCCTGCCAGCCGGCGTTCCACACTTCACGTGGCCTTAAAGTGTACACATGGCCTGGCACAAGCGCCGTGGTGACATCAGCGTTGTTAGTCGTTATGTGCCGTGCCGGCCTGCATAGGTGCCGATCGCCAACAGCACTTGCCCCAACATTCTGTTCAGCTATACGGGGGATCTCTGTCCCTCGTCTTTGCCCTCCAGCAACAATGGAGGGCGGAGGAGCGATGCTCACAACAACGAGCGGAGGGCCGGGCGGCTACAACGCACAAGTGGTGCATCTGCCAGTCGTCTCAGTCGGTCAACACATGGCACCTAGATTTGTCCCGTGACCTTCTGCCACGTGGCCTTAAAGTGCACATAGCCCGGCACAAGCGCCGCGGTGACGTCACCGCCACTAAGTGGCGAATGACGGCTGTTGTGGCTGTTGTCGGTGTCAAGATCGGCCTCTGTGGAGGAAGCTCGTGACGGGCGCTACTGGGTCGGTTGGACGCAGTCGCCCTCCAACAACGGTGGAGGGCGGAGGTGCGACGCTCACAAAGTGGTACTCGTTTTTAAATCCTTTATATTAAGATCGCTTGCTTGCTTGCTTGCGCGCTTACGACCGTGCAAATCTTTCGGTCGTTTTTTAACCCACTTTCCGTGATCCAATCGAGCTGACATTTTGCGCACAGACTCGTTGTGCGTGACAATTTATTTTCGTGAAAATTTTTTTCCATAATTTTCCACTTTTTAGGAAAAAAACATTTTCATATTTAATTTCAAAGACCAATGTGATAAAAATGAAACTCTTACTCAAGAAAAACATAAATGAATAATAAAATAAAACCGATGCCACGCATATCAAGGATTTATAGTGAAAAACTTTGTTTTTACGGGTTGATTTTATCTACCCCCGAGGGTTATCATTGACACAGCGCTGGTCCCAGCCACCCAGCAACTCACCTCCACGTTCACCATCACAAAGTTGTGGCTCAGCTCGGCGATCTCCTTCGACAGCGCAAACTTCGGCTTCAGAGCTGCACACAGCAGAGGTGGTGGCATCGTCGTCGTCATCGTCATCATCGCTGTCGTGATTGACGTCGTCGTCAATAACACCGGCAAAATCATTGTAGATCATCATCGTCAGGCCGAATTGTAGATACGTTGAACTTCTTTCGTACCGCGCGTAGCCGACCGTGCCCATCGGAGGTGCGGGGGAAGGACGACAAACTAAACGCAAAAAGGAGTTCTAAATAATTCTAGATTTGAAGCTTTCGTGACTGCAAAGATTCATACTCTTAGTTCTTTCGGTAAAGTCACGTAGGTAAAAAATGAAATTAAAATTAATAAAAATTAAATGCAGCAAATCTGGCTGTGACGGTCCCACCTGATGACGGAGACTTGTGTTGCCTCCGAAACGTCGTGATTTTATCATTTTATTTTTTAATAATTTTAATTTCATTTTTTTCCTACGTGACTTTACCGAAAGAACTAAGAGTATGAGTTCTAAATAATTGACACTTCCAGCATTAAATATATTCATTGCCATTATCTTCATCATCATTAATTATTATCATCGGCACCACAGACATCGTTGTGATCGGCACCAACGTCGTAATTATCATCGTCATTATCGTCATCGACATTCATCTCCAACGGCATCACAATAATCGTCATCATCAATGGCATCATCATTTTTGGAATTGCTCTCACCATTGGCGTCGTCATAATCACCGTCGCAATAATCACCACCATCGACATTATCAGCTGGATCACAGGGGCTGATGTTTCAGACAATCGTCACCGGTGCTAGAGGCAGCGAGCCAATCAGTGACACTACCGCTCCCCAATAGATTGATGCGTCGTGCGTAACGCGTGGGTGTGTAGTGTAGCGGGTAGCGCTACGCTGCGCTACGAACCTGGTGACACGAGTTCGATTCCCGCTCACGGCCAACACCATCAGTGACGATTATCTGAACCGGTCCTGGGCCTCCCCTAGGTCGACTCGGCCTCAAATGAGTACCTGGAACGGTGTGTAGTAAACATCGCCACTGGAGAGATAAAGGCGGCCGGGCGTGGTGCTGGCCACCCACCCCCTCGTGTGCCGTGTCGGCCTTCATAGGTGCTCGCTGTGACAGCACTTGCCCCTACAGTCTGTTAAGGCTACACGGGGGATCTTTGTCTTTGTGCGCGTGCGTAACCTTCATCTGTACGTCGACTAAACTAATTTTTAATTGCCATTGTGACTCACGGCACAGTAAAAACAAAAACCACACACGCAACAGCTTTCAGGCATGCAGAAATACAGGACAGGCCACTAGGAGCGGTCTCTGGGGGGAGGGGTGGTGAGAGAGGGGGTGGAAATAGACCCGGCTAAAACAAATCGGCGGAAAATGCAAACCAGATGTAAATGAGGCGATACCAGCGGTCGGAAACCAAAATAACAAAGAGGACGGCCATTTTTTTTGTTCGAATTCGGTAACAAAAAATTAACCCGTAAAAACAAAGTTTTTCACTATAAATCCTTTATATGCGTGGCGGCTAGAGTCCTCTCGTCCTCTGGCTTGAGATGGCTGCCACCTATGGGTCAGGTGATTGCCTGCCACCATTAAGCAATTGGTAATTAAATATATTTTTTTTTACCTAAAAAGTGTAAAATTTAGGAATTTTTTTTCACGAAAATAAATTGTCACGCACAACGAGTCTGTGTGCAAAATGTCAGCTCGATTGGATCACGGGAAGTGGGTTAAAAAACGACCGAAAGATTTGCACGGTCGTAAGCGCGCAAGCAAGTGAACTTAATATAAAGGATTTAAAAAAACCCGTCAATATTTCAAGAATACGCAGAAAGGTGGCGGGTGTCCCTTGATAAATAAACGCCATTAGGCAGTCCCGTGAAGGTTTTGCCGATTCCCTGGGCTATACAAACCCAAATGATCGCTTCCCTATGCAAAACCCTAAGGAGGTCCCCGATCTGGTTTTACTGCTTCTCAAAGCACAGGAGGCTCCTCCACCCACGAACCGTCATAGTTACGACCCAAAGCCGCCCACAGTTGCGTTTCTGCCTGGGCCGCCACCGCCGTTGAAAGTTATCGCTGCCCCCCCCCACCGCCCCCCCAAAACCATATTTGCATTTTGAAAATAAAACATGCTTAAAATTGCTTTAAACTATTGTCATTGTAGTGCGTATTTAATGTGGCGCCGCACTCCGATGTTGTAGGAGAAAACATTTATTACAAAGTCTATTTAATTAAGTAGAACGTGTTGTCTATATTTATTTAAAGTTGCGCATTTTGATGTGACGTCACATTTCTCAACCCCCCCCCACCCCTCGTCACACATCGTCACAAATGTCTGACCCCACCCCCCCCCCCCCGAAGTGCGTGACGTCATTTATGGACGGCCCCTTACGAACAAACACCTCTGGAACCTAGCGTCAGGGGTCGGGATCAAACCCACGACCTCCTGTACACCAGGCGAGGTAGTTAACATATCCTAGCCACCGTGATGATGATGAGAGAGAGACATGCAAACTCCAAATATACAGCAGGCGTCAGGGTCGAGATGGAACCCACGACCTCCTGCACACCAGGCGAGGTAGCTAACATCTCCTAGCCACCGTCATGATGATGAGAGAGAGACGCCAACTCCACATATAAAGCAGCAGGCGTCGGGGTCGGGATGGAACCCACGTCCTCCTGCACACCAGGCGAGGTAGTTAACATCTCCTAGCCACCGTGATGATGATGAGAGAGAGAGAGACACGCAAACTCCACATATACAGCAGGCGTCGAGGGTCGGGATGGAACCCACGACCTCCTGCGTACCAGGCGAGGTAGTTAACATCTCCTAGCCACCACGGCGCCCCAATGTCGGTGAATGGCGAGGCGTGCGGGCGGTTACCTTTGCACGCTCCACACCAGGACTTGTGCACGATGAGCATGATGGGCAGTCCGCTGTCAGAGAGAAGGGGTGGAGGGGGGGGGCGCATGTTACACTGTTGCATACGGGACATCGCACGTCATCATTCTCCTGTCCCCTTCGACTGCTTGATGGTGGTGTCTCTTCGAGCGATATGCCGGGCGGTGGTGGCTATGCACGCGGCCTTTAAGCCGTCGCTGCGGAGGCGAGGGTTGCTGGATCACACGAATGTTGCAAAACATCCTTCCGGTTGGGTATCGAAGTAAGTGAATGTTGAAATGCGCAACTCTTATCACCTAGGTGGTCGCATGTGTGCACTGTTCATACATCGTAAGCTCCATTAAGCAGCTCTGTCGTGCATTTTCTACTGAACTGGTTTAAAGGTTTACTGAACCGGCTAAATGTCCGTCTGTAAAGAGTCTCAAACATAATGCAGCAGGGAAGAGTTCCACGCCGATAGCCCGCTGAGTAGGTGAGTGGGTGGGTAGGTGAGTGGGTGGGTGGCTGAGTGGGTGGGTGGCTGAGTGGGTGGGTGGCTGAGTGGGTGGGTGGCTGAGTGGGTGGGTGGCTGAGTGGGTGGGTGGCTGAGTGGGTGGGTGGATGACTGGATGGGTGGATGACTGGATAAGTGGGTGGGTGGGTGGCTGAGTGGGTGGGTGGCTGAGTGGGTGGGTGGCTGAGTGGGTGGGTGAGTGGATGACTGGATGAGTGGGTGGATGACTGAGTGGGTGGGTAAGTGAGTGGATGGGTGGATGACTGGATGAGTGGGTGGGTGGCTGAGTGGGTGGGTGGCTGAGTGGGTGGGTGGCTGAGTGGGTGGGTGGCTGAGTGGGTGGGTGGGTGAGTGTGTGGGTGGCTGAGTGGGTGGGTGAGTGGGTGGGTGGATGACTGGATGAGTGGGTGGATGACTGGATGAGTGGGTGGGTGAGTGGATGTACTAGCACACACACCACGTGTCCATCAGATCGAGTGGAACAGATTGGTGTAGACACTTGTACACGAAGGGCACACAGCTTGTAAATCAACCCTCTGTTTTATCGCTAGCCAGTGGAAGTAATCACGAATGGTCGGTGTGATACGCATGTGCTCAGCGTTGTAGCAAGTGTGGTGAATATCATCCGTTTCACTCTGATGGGATAGTGTGTGGGTTTTTCTCCGGGTGCTCGGGTTTCTTGATATAAAAACCCAATAGAGGACTTTCCAGTAGAAATGTTTTAATAGTAATTGGACCGTGTGTGTGTAGATGTTGAACTTCTTTCACACCGTACGTAGTCAACCATGCTAAACGGAGGTGCAGGGGAAGGACAAAATTATTCTTGTAGCTATTCATTCATCGATTAGCTATTCATATAGCCTATTACCGTAAAAGTTTGTCAATGTAGGATACTAAGAATCCTTAAGGGGCCTTATTGCGATTCCGATCGCCAGGCATTAATAATTAAAAGAGAGTGTATTCACTCGTTATGCACGAGAGACAAAGTGATCAGATAATTTTCACGTGTTTAATAGCATATTTACGTATTCGTTTAGGGTAATAGGTTTTCTTCATATTCATATAGCTAATCATTCGTTTATTAATATTATGCATGTGCTGAGCTGCATGAGTATGTAAGTACAGGTTCCTATGCGAGTGTAAATACAGCCCCTATGTATGTTGAACTTTTTTTCGCACCGTACATTGTCAACCGTGCTATGTATGCATCTATGTTGAACTTGATAATTGTTTTTTTTTACCCTTTTATCTGGCAACAAAACTGACACCTTTTTTTACAAAGAGTCATGTTTGCATAGACCACAATACCTGCAGTCGTAATGCAAACACAAAATATAACTGATAATGTATGCACTGTCCTTGAAGTTGATTGGTCCACACCGGAGACAGCTTTCCTTAGAGCCTAGTCTCACATGGTGTTGGACCAGATGACGCCAAAAGGCGCACAACTCAAAGACAATGCACCATCCAGAGTATGAGAACTCGGGGTAAGAATTTACACCATTGGAACCTCATTTGCCAGAAGAAAAATATGACCTCAACTTCAAGGACAGTGCATACATTATCAGAGTTATGTGTTTTGTTTGCATTACGACCGCAGGTATTGTGGTCAATGCAAACATGACTCATTGTAAAAAAAGGTGTCAGTTTTGTTTCCAGATAAAAGGGTAAAAAAAACAATTATCATATTTTTACTGGCAAATGAGGTTCCAATGGTGTAAATGCTTACCCCGAGCTCTCATACTCTGGATGGTGCATTGTCTTTGAGTTGTGCGCCTTTTGGCGTCATCTGGTCCAACACCATGTGAGACTAGGCTCTAAGGAAAGCTGTCTCGGGTGTGGACCAATCAACTTCAAGGACAGGGCACATTAATCAGAGTTATGTGTTTTGTTTGCATTACGACCGCAGGTATTGTGGTCTATGCAAACATGACTCCTTGTAAAAAAAGGTGTCAGTTTTGTTTCCAGATAAAAGGGTAAAAAACCAATTATCATATTTTTTTCTTCTGACAAATGAGGTTCCAATGGTATGTTGAACTTCTTACACACCCAACCGCGGGACATACATGCTATGCATGGATGTCCCGCTGGTAACCGCACACGCGTGACGGTGTACACGGAAGCACCCTCGTGTGTTCGTGCGCTTCACCTGGCCTTCGCCTCCTTGAGTGCGTCATCGTACGGCCGCCAGTTGATGTGCTCCCCAAATCCTGCGGCGACACAGCCACATCAGCGTCAACGTCAGCACGTGGGTCCATCAGGTGAGCCGGGGAGGGGGAGGGGTGACACTTAGGGGTGCCTTCGTCTTGAGCCTCAGAAAACGAAACCCTAAGATGCCCAACTGTGCCACGGTCTTTCCGATTGAAAGTTTGACAATGTAGGATACTAAGAATCCTTAAGGGGCCTTATCGCGATTCTGATCGTCAAGGCATTAATAGTGAAAAGAGAGGAGTGTTCACTCGTTATGCACGGGAGATAAAGCGATGAGATGATTTTCACGTGTTTAATAGCATAGTATTCGTTTACGGTAATAGGTTTTCTTAGGCCAATATCTACCTTGGACATTATCAATTAATCCTAAAGGTGCTGCCCTTAGCTTGGCTCTCTGGACCTTGTAAATTATCAATTAATCCTAACGACTCCTTAGCCTGGCTCTCTGAATCTCGAACATTAAACAACGGTGTCAGTCTGGCATTATTAACAACTCAGCCTAATGATTCCTAAGGAGGCTTTAGTATAACTTTTTAAATCCTTTATATTAAGTTCACTTGCTTGCTTGCGCGCTTACGACCGTGCAAATCTTTCGGTCGTTTCGTAACCCACTTCCCGTGATCCAATCGAGCTGACATTTTGCACACAGACTCGTTGTGCGTGACAATTTATTTTCGTGAAAATGTTTTTCCAAAATTTTCCACTTTTTAAGAAATTTTTTTTTCATATTTAATTTAAAATACCAATGTGATAAAAATGAAACTCTTACTCAAGAAAAACAGAAATTAATAATAAAATAAAACCGATGCCACGCATATAAAGGATTTATAGTGAAAAACTTTGTTTTTGCGGGTAAATTTTTTACAGACCAATTAAGACCTACCTGGTCACCCCGTGCCCTTATACATCTCAACATTCATGCTACAAAGTCCCATCGCAAGGGAGAAACACAAAAAAGACGAAAAAAAATGTTGCCCGCATTGAAACGGCTGTACGACGTATGGACCTGAAAACTCAATTTCCCTGCACAAGAATACGGGGCAAACCGTTTGGGTTGACAGGTACGCTTTAGTTTGGCTTGGATGTGTCTCAAACATTAACAACGGAGCCTAAGGAATTACCAAGGTGCCTTGGTCTGGCTCACCCGGCTCCGAGTCCCACCCTTCTGAACCGACAGATCTGTTGGAGAACACCGACTCACTTTCTGTGTCGTGTCAAAACAGGTTGATCGAGAAGCCACGTGTACAACCGGCATTCTTTTGCACATCATAGCTGCCAACTTTGTGCGTACGTTCAACTTTTTTCGCGCCCTACATAGCCAACCGTGGTGATCGGAAGGTGCGGCGAAAAGGACAAAAGGGCAGCTCTAAAAGAAACGAGTTTTGAATCTACTAGACACTCACCACTACGCGCTCCTACACACTCACTACTACACTACACATTCACTACTACACCACACTCACCACTACTCGCTCCTACACACTCACTACTACACTACACATTCACTACTACACATTCATTACTACACCACACTCACTACTACACTACATCCACTACTATACTACAACTACACTCACTACTACACTACACATTCATTACTACACCACACTCACTACTACACCACACTCACTATTACACTACATCCACTACTACACTACAACTACACTCACTACTACACTCACTACTACACTACAACTACACATTCACCACTACTCGCTCCTACACACTCACTACTATACTTCATTCACTACTACACATTCACTACTACACCACACTCACTATTACACTACATCCACTACTATACTACAACTCCACTCACTACTACACTCACTATTACACTACACATCCACTACTACACTACAACTACACTCACTATCACACTACATCCACTACTACACTACAACTACACTCACTACTATATGTATTTTGAACGTCTTTCGCACCGTATCTGCCAACCGTGCCGATCTAAAGGTTCGGGGGCGAGGACACAACAAATTAAACACAAAAAGCAGTTCTAAACAAATGAGTTTTCCATCTTGGCATACAAGAAGTAAAACGAAAAGCAGCATTTTTCCTATTTAAGAACCTTTAACAAAGTGCCGGAGCCACGATTCAGTGAACATACAAATCCGACACTTTAAAAGATTCTAGATTTGAAGCTTTCGTGACTGCAAGGATTCATATTGTTAGGTTTTTTCGGTAAAGTCACGTAGGTAAAACATTAAAATTAATAAAAGTAAAATAAAAATAAAATAAAAATCACGACGTTTCGGAGGCAACACAAGCTTGCGTCTTCAGGTGGAACCGTCACAGCCAAGATTGCTGTATCAAGTAAAAGCTCTTGCAATCTCTCATCTACTTGATACAGCTGTCGTGGCTGTGACGGTTCCACCTGAAGACGGAAGCTTGTGTTGCCTCCGAAACGTCGTGATTTTTATTTTATTTTACTTTTATTAATTTTAATTTTTTACCTACGTGACTTTACCGAAAAAAACCTAAGAATACTTTAAAAGATGCGCGCGTGATCATGCTTGGGCTTTCCACACAAGACCAAAGCCCCATCACCGGGATGGTGATGGGGCTTCGAAGTCCGCGTACGTTTCCAAATCGCTGACTCATTCCAAGCGATATTTTTTTAAATAAAACTAGAAATCCATTAGCCGAGAATGCCCCTGATACGATGGTCAGATCTCGGAAGCCATGCAAGGCGGTTGAGCCTGGAGACACGCCACGATACACACAAAGCCGGTGTCACAGGCCACCGTGGAGAAAAGGCGGTCAGCAGACCGACTGTGCAGCAAAGACCACCCCATTGCGCTGCACCGCAATGCTTCCTCACCTTCACCAACCCGCACTGCCCAGCGAGGTGAAGAATGGTCAAGTGACAATTAAGTGTGGTGTGGGGGAGGCTTTCATCCAGCAGTGGATTGACAGAGGTTCTGTAAAATAAATACATGGGGGAAGGCATGCGCGATTACTGGAGAAAACTCTACCATATAAATACTAATGACTGTTGTTGTCCTTCTCCCGCACCCCCGATTAGCACGCTTGGCCACGTACGGTGCGAAAGAAGTTCAACACGCAGTACACACATACACATGTGCAGTGACACAGCGCCGACTGCTGGCCAGCAGCGGAAACTGCGGTGAACAGTTAGCGCACACGCCATCGAGAATATACACACACGGGTGTGCCGGCAAGGCGGAGGAACTGGGGCAATGGTCACGGAAGAGCCGATTAGGGAGGCCCCCGGAACCCTCTGGTGGGTTCGAGAAGGGAGGTGCGGCTAGGGCGGAGCCAGGCCGCCGCCGAGGAGACTAAAACCAGCGGAGAGTCGAGAGCTCCGGGCTGTCGGTTCTAGGAGTGGCCTCGTCTCGTCGTCGCTGCCGCCTTCGCCCGATCATTGCGCGGGCAGACAGTAGTTGACCGTCTCGGTCGACGCCGTCGGTGCAACGCGGACAGGGCGGTCGTGTCTGGGCCGGGCCGTACGGCAGCGTGGTCGAGAGAGAGGAGGCCAGAGTTGGTGGTGTGAACGGGATAAATAGAGAGTCGGTGCCTCCTGCAACTGCCTCGCCTCCGACTGAGTGTGTGCGCCGTACACCACAAGCGCGCACACGCACACGCCGGGAGGAAGGAGGACACTACACATACATGCACTGCGGTCCTTCGCGTGCGGCAAGTTTTTATATTTGATGTTTTATAACTTTATTTTGAAATTATAATTTGTATTTCTCACGTATTTAAAAACTATTTTTTTATTTTACCAACTAAAGCCCATTGAGCTCTATAGCTCCTTTTCAAAAGCAACAAGTGACAGCTCGACGAAGTGGCTTATCACGTGGAAATGTATAGCAGTCAAATATTCTAAACGCGTGATGATGAATCGAAATGTGGAGGGAAAAACAGGAGGATCCGGAGAAAAACCCATGTCGGGATCGAACCCACGACCTCCTGTATACCAGGCGAGGTAGTTAACATCTCCTAGCCACCGTGATGATGATGAGAGAGAGACACGCAAACTCCAAATATACAGCAGCAAGCATCAGGGTTGGGATCGAACCCACGACCTCCTGTATACCAGGCGAGGTAGTTAACATCTCCTAGCCACCGTGATGATGAGAGAGAGACACGCAAACTCCAAATATACCGCAGGCGTCAGGGTCGGGATCGAACCCACGACCTCCTGTACACCAGGCGAGGTAGTTAACATCTCCTAGCCACCGTGATGATGATGAGAGAGAGATACGCAAACTCCAAATATACAGCAGGCGTCAAGGGTCGGGATCGAACCCACGACCTCCTGTAGACCATGTGAGGTAGTTAACATCTCCTAGCCACCGTGATGATGATGAGAGAGATACGCAAACTCCAAATATACAGCAGGCGTCAAGGGTCGGGATCGAACCCACGACCTCCTGTAGACCATGTGAGGTAGTTAACATCTCCTAGCCACCTAGGCACTCACTACTGTTGCGGAACGCTTCTCGCTCGTTAAGCGAGGTGTGCCTGCACCTTTCCAACGAACACGCATTGCCTATCGATCTCTCCCGAGGGGCTCTCTCTATAGAGCTCCCTCTGGGGCCGTGGTTTCTTTACCAGGGGGTGCACGCAACCACCGTTGCGAGATGTTGACTACCTCGCCTGGTATACAGGAGGTCGTGGGTTCGATTACGACCCTGACGATGCCTGCTGCTGCTGTAGATTTAGAGTTGGTGGTGTTTCTCTCTCATCATCAAAGTTGCGAGATGTTAACTACCTCGCCTGGTATACAGGAAAGTCATGGGTTCGATCTCGATCCATGACGATGCCTGCTGCTGTATATTTGTAGTTTGCGGTGTTTCTCTCTCATCATCACCACAGTTGAGAGATGTCAACTACCTCGCCTGGTGTACAAGAGGTCGTGGGTTCGATTCTGACCCTGACGATGCCTGCTGCTGTATATTTAGAGTTGGTGGTGTTTCTCTCTCATCATCATCATCACGGTGGCTAGGAGATGTTGACTACCTCGCCTGGTATGCAGGAGGTCGTGGGTTCGATCCCGACCCTGACGATGCTGTTGCTGTATATTTAGAGTTGGTGGTGTTTCTCTCTCATCATAATTATCACAGTTGAGAGATGTTGACTACATCGCCTGGTGTACAGGAGGTCGTGGGTTCGATCCCGACCTTGACGATGCTGTTGCTGTATATTTAGAGTTGGTGGTGTTTCTCTCTCATCATCATCATCACAGTTGAGAGATGTTGACTACATCGCCTGGTACACAGGAGGTCGTGGGTTCGATCCCGACCTTGACGATGCTGTTGCTGTATATTTAGAGTTGGTGGTGTTTCTCTCTCATCATCATTATCACAGTTGAGAGATGTTGACTACATCGCCTGGTGTACAGGAGGTCGTGGGTTCGATCCCGACCCTGACGATGCCTGCTGCTGTATATTTGGAGTTTGCGTGTCTCTCTCTCATCATCATCACAGTTGAGAGATGTTGACTACCTCGCCTGGTATGCAAGAGGTCTCTCTCAAATTTACAATCAACATCACGCGTTTTAAGATTTATTTATTTAACTGCTAAACATTTCCACATGATGATGATGATGATAAAACCAAACTTCCTTGAGCACGATCATTCGCGCTGCGGTAAAAAGGAGATTTAAACCTCGGCAGCTCGATGAGGCCTTACGCCCCGGGTTAAAGTAAAACCTCAGAAAATCGAAGAATGATTAAACGGATCAATGCGACAATGTTAAACGCGTTGCAGGCGCAAGTGTGGAAAGTTAAGAACCGTAAAACGTACGCATGGCACACGGGGAAAAAAAACCCTTTAGCCGTAACTTTAATATTAAGTCTTTTTTTTCGCATTCAATAAGCCGAAATCTGCTCCTTTTTCGATGTTTAACATTCGGCCGTCTCTCTGTTATCTGCGAAACAATCAACTTTATTTTCTGGTTTGACCAAAGGTTCCCATTGACTTAGAAGACAAATACAATTTCAACGAGAACACCGGGTAGGCCTAGTCACGGAGCCTTACGACTTTCCTAGCCGCGCTGCCGGCTTCGGCTCTCCAATCCCCGCAACACAACCCCAACCCCCCCCCCCCACCCGGCTTCGTGGTTTTTCAACCTTTCACTCACCTCGGCCACGATTCCCTTCCTGAGCATCGGTCGCAGATGCCCACGGGAGAAGCAACATCGTCGGCAACACAAGCAGCAGCATCAGCAGCAGCATCTTTATTGTTTACGAGGAGCGCTTCGAAACGTTCCTTCGGTGAGAACAAAAACTTTGGCCGATCAATGGGGCGGAGGCGGCGTTTTCAGGGCGCGAAATGCCGCCATCCCATTGGTCGGTTGGCAGTTTTTCGTCGCCGTCGAATTTTGCATAGAAGGCAAAAACTGTCAACTCCCTTGTATGACTACACTACATTATACACTATATTATACACTATACACTACATTATACACTACATTATATACTATATTGTACACTACATTATACACTACATTGTACACTACACTACATTATACACTACATTATACACTATACACTACACTATACACTACATTACACACTACACTATACACTACATTGTACACTACATTATACACCACACTATATACTACATTACACACTACACTATACACTACACTATACACTACATTATACACTACATTATATACTACACTATACACTACACTATACACTACACTATACACTACATTATACACTACACTATACACTACACTATACACTACATTATATACTACACTATACACTACACTATACACTACATTATACACTACACTATACACTACATTATACACTATACACTACACTATACACTACATTACACACTACACTATACACTACACTATACACTACATTATACACTACATTATACACTATACACTACATTATACACTACACTATACACTACACTATACACTACATTATACACTATACACTACACTATACACTACATTATACACTATACACTACATTATACACTACACTATACACTACACTACATTATACACTACACTACATTATACACTACATTATACACTATACACTACATTATACACTATACACTACACTATACACTACATTATATATTCGTTACTAGTTCAGCACACCGGTGCGTTGGAGAAAAAAACCTCATTAATTAGCTGTCGGGTGGTGGCGGGTTTAATGACACATTCATATTTACGCGATCTAAAAAGAAAAACACTTATGGATAATATCGGTAGCGAAAGTCATAATGCATTAAACCCAAAAAGCAATCGTGTTAGCACTAGACAAGCCGGAAGGCAGCAGTAGCAGCCATCCGATGGTGGCGAGGAGATGTTAACTACCTCGCCTGGGATGCAGGAGGTCGTGGGTTCGATCCCGATCCTGACGATGCCTGCTGCTGTATATTTGGAGTTTGCGGTGTCTCTCTCTCTCGCGTGGTCACGCGGATTTTTCTCCGGGTCCTCCGCCTTTCTCCTCCACATTTAGAATCAACATCACGCGTTTAGGGTTATTTTTAAATCCTTTATATTAAGTTCGCTTGCTTGCTTGCGCGCTTACGACCGTGCAACTCTTTCGGTCGTTTTTTATTTAAATCCTTTATATTAAGTTCGCTTGCTTGCTTGTGCGCTTACAACCGTGCAAATCTTTCGGTCGTTTTTTAACCCACTTCCCGTGATCCAATCGAGCTGGCATTTTCCACACAAACTCGTTGTGCGTGACAATTAATTTTCGTGAAATTTTTTTCCCAAAATGTTACACTTTTTAGGAACAAAAAATTATATGTAATTACCAATTGCTTAATGGTGGCAGACAATCATCTGACCCATAGGTGGCAGCCATCTCAAGCCAGAGGACGAGAGGACTCTAGCCGCCACGCATATAAAGGATTTATAGTGAAAAACTTTGTTTTTACGGGTTATACTTGTTCTGCTGTGCGTTTCCACGTGGCGATAAGCTCCACTTCGTTGAGCCATCATTTGCAAGGCCAGGTCGCTTCTTAAAAATTAACCCGTAAAAACAAAGTTTTTCACTATAAATCCTTTATATGCGTGGCGGCGAGAGTCCTCTCGTCCTCTGGCTTGAGATGGCTGCCACCTATGGGTCAGATGATTGTCTGCCACCATTAAGCAATTGGTAATTAAATATTTTTAAAAAATCCTAAAAGGTGTAAAATTTTGGAAAAATTTTTTCACGAAAATACATTGTCACGCACAACGAGTCTGTGTGCAAAATGTCAGCTCGATTGGATCACGGGAAGCGGGTTAAAAAAACGACCAAAAGATTTGCACGGTCGTAAGCAAGCAAGCGAACTTAATATAAAGGATTTAAAAAGAGCTACGTCGCTCTGTGGCCTTAAAAATTATAATATTCCGACTGATGCTCCTGCTGTTGTGGGGTGACTCATGCAGCCAGCTATGGCTGCAGGGTTTTGGTGGTACATGTTGTTTATGTCGTTTATTGTGAAAATTCCGTCACAGTTCCTATGATCACTGTTTCATTGCTTTCATGGCTTTATTTTGGTGATTTCGAAAAGTGTATTGGTTTGGCCATGTTTGTTTGTTGTAGTACAGAGTTAGACTGATGGCCTTAATCTAAGTTGTCTTGTGGTTGTTGTTGTTGTTTGACTTGCATCCCGCTGGGATTTGTGCACACAGCGTTGGTGTACGGTGTTTTTTTCTGCAATATTTTTCTGTCTTTTCTTGGATTTTCTGTTTGCACATATTCACTTTAAGATGTTTTTTTTGTTCATGTTTTTGTTTTTTGTTTGTTGCGGTTGCACCCGATTCAAGAGCCGAATGGCTCACAGGGCTCTATACCTAATAAGTGAACATGAACTTGAACTTACCTTGTGAAATAAAAGAGTTTAGATTAGCAGGTGCCAACAATCGCCAAAAGCTCTGCGGTCCTCTATATATATCAATTCGTCGTCGGCCAATTGATGAGTATATGTACATGTGGGAGGAAACCGGAGCACCCGGTCAAAAAACTAAATCACGCGTGCGAGGGGGAAGCACTCGATCCCACACAGATGGAACACGTGGAGGCCACGCATCTTGCTGCGCTGACTTCTCCTGGCATGCCTCGGGGTTACGGCCACCTTCTCGGCGCTCATGCGAGTTTCACAGCAACGTCCGTGTGCGGTGATCCATCAACCACCCTCGCTGCTTGCTTGCCTCCACATTGCGCTGGATTGCGGGCAGCAACGTGGAGCAATCACAGCCCCGCTCTACCCACCAGCGCCCGGTTACACTGCCGCTTCAGTACTCTTAGGTTTTTTCGGTAAAGTCACGTCGGTCAAAAATTTAAATTAATACAAGTAAAATAAAATAAAATTCACGACGTTTCGGAAGCAACACAAGCCTCCGTCTTCAGGTGGAACCATCACAGCCACGACAGCTGTATCAAGTAAATGAGAGATCACAAGAAATACCACCCCGTATATATAATGGTTAAGGGGGGAAGGGTCAGGTAAGGTGAGGCTTAAGACCAATTTTTTAATTTGTTTTATTTTACTTTTATTAATTCAAATTTTTTACCTACGTGACTTTACCGAAAAAACCTAAGAGTATGAATCCTTGCAGTCACGAAAGCTTCAAATCTAGAATTGCTGCTTCAGTGCCATCAACATCGAAAACGGACGATGGGCAAACACGCCGGCAGGAGGCAGTAGAACACAGCACGGAGGACGCAGACTCGTACCACTGATCAGTTTAACGCGTCGGCTTTTGCGATCAGAACTATTCAATACACTGGTCAACAAAAAGAAAACATTTTTTTCTGGCCTGGACTTTTGCAGCTGTTTTAGACTAATTTCACAGCGTGCCGATTCCAAATCGGATCTCAGATTTGCTCCATCACATCTCATTTTGATGCTATCGGCATACCCCATTTTCATTGATTTTACCCGAAATTAACTCTGTCGCTTACGATTGCAAGTTGTTGCGAGTCAGTGACTGCTTTAGTGTTAAAATATGGTGCTGTATTTTTAGGATAGTGTGTTTATAATATAATTTTATGTAGATATCCACATTTATTTAATATTTTTCTTCTGCGGTTTTGATTGAAAATGCAATATTTGATATCTCAAAAACCTGATGTGATAGACAAAAACTGATGCCATATTTGGAATGAGCACCCCAAAATTACCTTATAACCGTTGGAATACCTTATGCCAGAAAAAAAGTGTATTGACCAGTGTAATAAAGGTGTTTGGGTCAGATCGCGTTATTTATAAATGTGTCGTAACCCTCCACCACCCGACACGGCCAAACAGCAAAAAAGTGTCACGTTTTTCAAAGAACAAAATAATTCACTTATTTAGCCCAACGGTGTGTTGAAGAGAAAAGCTGATGAAGCTGATTGTAATCACCAGCGAAATGTCGTACTACTCAACTTTTTAAAAATGCTGTTGATTCTCTCTTCAACACACCGGTGGGGCTAAAGAAGTGAATTATTTTGTCCTTTGAAAAACGTGACACTTTGTTTTTTTGCTTTGACCTGAGAACCACGTGGTCTTGCTTTGACCTGGGAACCACGTGGTCTTGATTTGTGTGACCTTCTCACTGCAGTGTTCTTTGCTTTCTCTAAGTTGTCCCCACCTGAAGAAGGACGCTTGTGTTGCGCCCGAAACGTCGTGATTTAATTGAGTTGTTTTCATTTATTTTATTAGATTTTTTACCTATACGCGACTTTACCGAAAAAACCAAAGAGTACGTTTCTTCATCTTCATGACATCCATTTCGCCCGTGGAGGCGATGGCAAGCCACCGTTCGTCTGCGCTCTTGCAACGGATGAGTAACAGCAAAACTACACCAACTCTATCTCTCTCTCTCCTGAAGCCATCTCGTCCTGGCTGGCAGAACTTGACATTGGCCACGATAGAGGGTTTTTTTGGGGGGTTAAATCGCGTAAATAGAAATGTCTCGTTAAACACGCCACCACCCTCGACGCAGCCAATGAGTAAGGTTTGTCACGTAAACAGAAGGTGCCAATTCGTTACTAGTTCAGGACACCGGTTGTGTGTTGGAGAGGAAACCCACAACATTTACAATCCGTTTCGCCGGTAATTAATTAACCAGCCTCATCAGGCGACAGCCAGAGGTGTGGAGAAATCCTCCTGTTTCGGAATTTTGCTCCTAAACCATATCGCCATCTTACGCTAGGCTAGAATGAAAAAAAAAGCGGAAATGAATGACGCACGCACATTCTTACAAATTACTCCAAAAGTGCTTTAATTACAGGCATAATATGTAAAAAATTTGAGTCTTCACAAACACAGTAAAGCATGTGTTTAACGCGTTCACAATGACCACCGGCA